AATTGATTACCCATTATTGCGATGTACTTTCGTAAAAAGTTTTCAAAACCATCACTTTTGAAGATACTCTCGTTACTGTAACGCTCGCTTTGTTAGCTTAAAGTCTCCCCTTTACTACAAATAACGTAACACAAACGTATATTTCGCCTGGTAGCGCTGCACAATAGCTACGAGAGACCGTTTATTACACCAAAAACATACAATTGTATCAATATTTGTGACATTATATGTATACATATTATAATGCAGTGACATTTACAGTATGTTAAAAGATCTCTCAATAATAAACATCCGCGTCATCGGAAAACACGACGTCCAGGAAAACAAACAGAGAATGTTACTCTGATAAAACCTGTGTCCAATTAAACAAGTTCAGTGCCTTCCTCAGCGGCGTGTGTGGACTTCACACGAAATATTAAATAATATAACATGAATGGTCTAATAAACTTTCGACGAAAACATATCCTTATAACAACATTTCACCAAAGTTTGCATTTAATAACCACTATTTATTTATTTATTTTTAAATCTATGAACTTGAAATTTTAAAGCGCGTGTTTATTAGCAGTGGTGCACGCTAGAAACTGATACCTGTAACTCTATCTATCCCAATGTTATCATACCATTCATTTCGATTGGTCAGTTTGTAACAAAACAATCAAACATTGGTCATGTGACTTATTCAATCGTAACGTGCAGACATAACTTTACCGCTATACTACGTAACGCGGTAAAGTAAAAAGTCTCCCCTTTACTACAAATAACGTAACACAAACGTATATTTCGCCTGGTAGCGCTGCACAATAGCTAGAAACCATTCAAAGTTAGAAATAGGAACAAAAACAAAAATATTCGCAAATCACATCAAATATAAACAACATATTAGATTTTTAAACTTTGAGAAATAGCTAGCCGTTTTTTCTAATGAATCTGCTACATAAATATTCTTTTGAAAAATCGGACTTCCACCTACCATGTCTTTTTAAACACCGATCATTAACATTATTGTTTGCTGCTACTGAAGCGCCCCCTGCTCTTAAAGAATGAAGACCAATATTTAAGTTTAGAGCGATGGTCTTAAAAAGTGATGTAACACATTCCCTTGCTCTAGTGTAGCTTAACTGTTTGTTTTTATGAATCAGATTTAAACCGGACTTAGATTTAAATGCAGGCTTAAACAGAAACATATCAGAAGAAACATCTATGTCACCTAAACTTATATACCTCTGTAACATTCTAACCGGACATGCTGAAGTAATACATTTACTAATTAAAACTTCATTACCAAATCTATATTGATCTGTTTTGCTCTTTCTTAAAATAATTTTTATATAGCTATCTTTAAAAATAATGTCTGAGCATTTTAGATTACTGAGCTCATCAAAACGCAAAAAAACCTGAAAAAGCCAATGTAATCATACATAAATTTCGAATTATACACAAATCAACTGACATTTTGTATTTATCACAAAGTTCTACAATGAGTTCTGTTGACACTGGATCTTTCTTTTGTGTAGGTGTCTTTGCTGTACGCTTGGATGATTCTAATAAATTTTTCACGAATGGGTTTTTTGTTGGATCTTCTAAACCGTTTAACTCATGTGCCCATTTTATTCCGTAAAAAATTGTAGACACGGTATGATACGAACTTCCAGTATCTAAAAGTTCAGTTAAATATTGTGCCAACCAAAATAGGACGCGCGGGTAATGATAAATAACCCTTTCTGGAACAATATACCCTCCATCTGTTAAATGCGTTGCTGTATTTCTTATTAGTGTTTTTACTCTTTGAGTCAAGTAAACGATGGCACATACTGTCAACCATACTTTGGTCGTAACAAACCGGCCTCTTGTAGCTGTTCTGTTATGTTGCGTTTCAATCCTATGCCTGAAAAATGATTATAAAATATGTTATGTTTATGTTGTAATATTTTTACACTATAAAAATAAGTATATCATGCTGACATTACTTTTCACCTCCAATCTGAAAACTATAAAACTGTTTAATGCCGTATCTTAAGAGCAAGCATCTGAACAGACAAAGGATTTTTCCCAAAAATACCATTATTACCAAAACCAACTGAAATAATATCTTTCTTTGGTAGCATTTTAAATTCTGCTATACAATTTTTGAAACTACCATCGTCATTACACAATTTTGGCCAAAACGAGGCTGACTTCCACAATGGGACTATTAAAAGTACAGATGCCTGCTCATTTAACATTTTGTCTAAAACTCTGCCGACCAATCTAGGTGGCGGCACTAACCAATTTTTATCTTCTTTCCAAAATTGCACAAAAGCATCGACTGCCTCACAACCGGACACCACCACCTACAATTAAAACGCTGACAATGAGCATTATGATTTGACGAAAATCTATCCACAGTATGTGGACCCAAACTTTATCTAACATGGAAAAAACCCATGTTTGAATGCTCCAGTCATCATTGTCATACATACGACTAAACTCGTCTGCTACAAAATTATTTTCTCGGGGTATCCATTCTGAAAAAAGACATATGTTATTTTTGTCACAAAAAGACCGAACGTTTTCTGAAACTTCATGCAAATTTTGTTTCCTGCTACTTTCTGTAAAATTGAAACTACATTCTTATTATCACAATAAACTTTGACATTCTTTTCTTTTAAAGTTTTGCGTTACTTTTCATAACCCTTTCTACTGACTGAATTTCTCTCCATGTGGAGCTTTGTGCAACTTCTATGTCACTCCAATTACCCAGCACCTCACTGTCTTCAATTAAGACGCCCGCACAAAGGGCTACATAGCCTCCGTACCCAGTAGACGAGGCATCAGAAAAACACTCAAAATCACATGTTAATTCTGTATTTATTTCTTCCCCTTTTCATTCAAAATTCTTACATTTTTCCTCCAAAAGCGCAATTCACTTTGAGCGTTTTTGTCAACAAAAACACATGAACCCCAATTTAATCTAGATTCTAAACAGCGATAAAGACACCTTGTTTTGAAAAATACTATCTTTCCTAGTGCATTTTGAAAAGACACGATTTGACCAATTACGGAAGCTAGAAAACGAGCTAAAACTACATTTGACTTATCTTTATTTGTTTGAAAAAACAAAGAATCGATCGTGCTTTCTACCCTACAGATTCTTTCATCGGTGGCATGCAGTGTGCCTGTTAACATTTCCCAGCAATAACCGAGCCAAACTGAAGTTTGTGCTGGAATCCAATTGCACTTTTCTTCTGCTACCAAAAAACCAAGTTTAAGTAACAACTCATCTACGTAAATACTAAATGATTTTGCAACGCTTAAATCATTATGTCCGCCCATACCGTCATCTAAAAACATGACTAACTTTTGGCCCCTTGAACGCACGTGTCGTACTGGTATTCTCATTAATTTAGTAAAAATGAAACCTGCTGTAGATATTCCAAATGGGAGCACATTATACATATAATAATGTCTTTCTCCTTCATTTTCCCAAGAAAAACCCAAATATTCTCTATGATCCTGAAATATTTCTATGATGTGATACGCAGACTTCAAATCAAAAGTAAAAACAAAATCTCCTTTTTTGAAAATATTTGAAGCCACTGAAACATCTTTCATATTTAAATTTGAATTTAACCAGGTGTGGATTTATATGCCGACAGTCTAAAACTAACCTGGGTTTTCCCGATTTTCCGAATGCTACTGTCAAAGGATTTACTACGGCAGGAATATAATTAATTTTAGAAATACAACCTTTATGCAATAACTTTTTAATCTCCCCTTTAACAAATTCCGGATTTTCCCTTGCAGACTTATTATTCTTCAATACGCAAGTATTAGGTAATGTTTTGAAAGGCAACTTATACCCTGAGTAATGACTGTTCTCATATAAACATCAATTCCGACATTTTCCCACTCATTTATACATTTTTTCAATCGCCCAACTGGCGACACGCTTTCGTCTATATCGGAAAAACCAATGCTATTTTTAGAAATCGATCTCTCTTCTAAAAAATAAACTATCTGTGTCATTTTGTATCATTTTTGCATATGCTCTTATTACAATCAAAAACAGAAAGACTACTTATCTTTTCATTAGTTTTGTCAGCACTTGTACTTCTACACTCGTATTTCCAATGCCCTGGCTTGCCACATGCGAAACATAGACCTGGCCGGGTTGACCTGCTGGTTGTGACTGTTGAGATGTTGTTCCAAGCTGCGACTGACTTCTGTGGCTGCGTCTCCACTGACGTTGTACGACCGTACGGTGAAAATCTCTTGAAACCGGAAAATGGACGTTTACTCTTCCATTTTCTGTTGGCCCTGGCTTCAGCACGAGCTAACTTTTTCTCGTCTTCGGAGTCCGAAGCAAGTGGGTTGCTTTGGTATTCTTTGACTACTGACCAACCCAACTCCGAGGAGTCTGCTATGCGAATGAGTTTCTGACGATTAGAAAGTAAACTCAAACCTTCGGAAATGCATTCTGACGCTCCGGATAAGTCCATTTCATTGACTTTTGAGGCCGTCTCCTTCAATGCATTGCTGACCTTCACGTTGAACTTAAACTGGTCTTCACAACTTTTCCGCTTGAAAACGTAATTGTCATTTTGCAAAATATCCTGCTGAATTTTGCTTATTTGAGTATCAGAAATTGCTTTCTGACTTTTTAAAATCCTTTCTTCCATTGACGCTAATTTTGAAGACATCAAATCCTCTATTCTGTCCATTATATCGTGTTCGTCCATTGACTGGTCCCCCGTAGCCATTATCGATCTCGGAAATTTTAAAGCGCGTGTTTATTAGCAGTGGTGCACGCTAGAAACTGATACCTGTAACTCTATCTATCCCAATGTTATCATACCATTCATTTCGATTGGTCAGTTTGTAACAAAACAATCAAACATTGGTCATGTGACTTATTCAATCGTAACGTGCAGACATAACTTTACCGCTATACTACGTAACGCGGTAAAGTAAAAAATATACATGTATATAAAAAACAAAAACATTTTCACATTAAGAACAACATTTATTTAATATGTATTGTGCAATAATTAGAAAGTGTAAGTTAAAAGATACAATCGTATAAACAGCATTCATTCAAGTGATTTTCATATAACACAACTGAAATCTAAATATAAATATATGTTTCTTTCTGTTTAATGTTTAAACATGTAAAAAAGGAGTGCTGAATGCACTTTTTTTATAAAGGTAGACGTATGATGTAAATAAAGTGGTATTTTGACTTCTACACAAAATAATAATTCACTATAATTACTGCACTAATTTCCCAAATGCAAAGAAAGCAACAGCTGACTCAATCATATTGCCAATGAGTCACGTTTTGGAACCTGTTACAGGACATAAGTTATAGATATACCATTGCTGCGTTGACGATTTCTGGGTTTGCGTAAATTATACCATAATCACGTGACCTTTCTTATGCCTTAACATCACGAGACGAAGTCTGGGTATGGTATAATTTACGGTTATTGGAAATTATACTAGGAAGAATTTTACATAAGAAGCGCTGAAGAGCTATAGGTTAAAAAATAAAAGACCTTAGACTCATAATGAGCCTTTAAAATAAAATTGGATTATTCTTTAACTTCATGGTAAATTATACATACACTCTCATACATTTTGAAAGATTTCGATTCTTTCTACAGCAAAAAGCAAACGTCCATTTTTCATTACAAACATTGAGAGATAATGTTAAATATTTCAATAAGATTCTAAAAATATAGTGACATAAGTGTTACTGTAAAAACAGATATTTACGCACGGTCAGATTTTTTGACTTATCGATGGTTTTGAATATTGGCGAACGTACACACAAAAATAACAAAAAAAAATAACAAACACTTACAGACACACACTAATTACCAGTAAACAACATACTATTGTTACAACTTCTGCCAATTGACGAATTAATAATAAGGTATGTTCAGTTTAGTAAAAACGATAAGGTCAATATAAGGACAAATGGAAACGCTAAAAAAGCCTTGACGGCTTAATAAGCTTTTAAACAAAGCGCTGAACGACAAACTTGTTGGATTTAAACAAATCACTGAACGACAAAGTTGCTGGGTTTTAAAAAGCGCTGAACGACAAACTTGTTGGATTTGTTGGATTTAACCAAAGCGCTGAACGACAAACTTGTTGGGTCTAAACAAAGCACTGCACGACGAACTTGCTGCTTTATCAAACGTGTCATAAACAACCCTTATCTTATTTCAAAATAAAAACAAATCTCGATTGTTTGAAGCCTACTTCCTGCTAGCTTAATCTCTATATTTAAATAAAGAGAAGATTTGAGCTTCAAGACTGAGATAAATATAAATGCAAAAAATACAAAAGACTGTCACCTCTCGACTGATAATTCTGCCCAGTCCCCATTCAATTATGGACTAGTCTCCAAACCGGGCAAAGAGTAATGTTCCGTGTGCTTCAGTTATGTCAGTACGTAGATGCAAAAGTGTTTTGACATAGACAAAACAAAGCCAAATATCAGAGAAAAATTATTGTCACAAAAATCGTGTCGTATCAGTACAGGAAAATATTAACACTTCAATATACCGCAATGGTTTTCATAATATTTGTCCGGGTTGTTGTCTGTATACTCAGCAATGCAATATGGAGCGTCATCAATACCCCACTTTGGATTTCTACAATAGTTCTCAGCTTCCTCTCTTGGCTCTGGGCAGGGTTTGGTCTCACAACGAATGTCAAACAAAGGCGAGTCCCAGCGCAAGCACGGCTGCATACTGAATGTTGTGTTTCGTTTCCCCCTATACTCCCAGGATGTTGTCAGGTAGCAATCTACAAAAAGATATATTTATTAATTTTGTTGTCTTTCCTTCAATTTGTTAACAACTGTATCCGCAGGTATACATTAACGGAGAAGAAATAAAATTTCACGCGAACACGTGCTGTTATTGCACGATATTCACATTTGAGTGATTCGGTGATCCTTATAAAATACCTACCTGCAGTGAATGTCCCGTTGAACTCATTATGATAAGAAATCGCTTTAACAGGTGGAAAACTTAAACAAAATGTTTTTATACGACAGTAAGATAATAAATTGCAAACCTGCCACAAGATGTACAATTCGATTCAAAATTACAATTGATACACATTTTCTTGTGCATAAACATTTGTAGAAACTCTCGGACGTATTGAAAATCCGGCCCAGCAACTTCGTGTTTCTGCAGATTTTAATGACCGTAATATTGTCCACTTTTGCTAACTATGCTCACGAATCTCTTTGACATTGTACATGTATATCAAAAATGTGTCATGACTTTTTAGAATGTTAGGACACCTCTGTCTGTGTTCAAACAAAGTGACTATAAAGCAAGAATCAACAATAATCTTCACATACCGTATTCCTCACACGTGGCGGTCTCCCAGGTACCGTTTGGTTGACATCTGATCGTGTCAGTGCTGGCCCGGAATTTATCGCCACAGATTAGCGTCGCTGTGTTTGTCCCAGGGTCAAGTGTGTAATTTCCATTATCAATGGATGGCAGAATCCCACAGCTTTTGTCTAAAGGAAAGTAATGAGAAAACCGATTGTATTTTGTTGTTGTTGTTGTTGTTGATTTTTGTCTATAAAATTTGTTATGTTCTGTTCCCTGGAAGAAATGTTTTACATAGAGTATATTGGTCTATTTATCACATACATAGAAAGGACTTTTTACAGTGAAACAATGAATATATTTATCGTTGAAACGCTAAACATTTAGCGCGTCTTAAGCTTTGTTTGTTAAACACATTTGACGTTACGTCAAAATATTTTCACGCCCTACAATACCATGTTTACAAGTCGTCAAAAGCAGCAATTGTATGTTGTATGACTCGGATATGTTCCTATCTCGTGGCCACGAGATATAATTGAGTAGAAAAAAATGCTATTGTGTTCCCACAAGATGTAACTCAGAAAAAATGCTATCTCATTCCCGAAATATAACTTAGAAAAAAACAACAACCCAAAACAGGAATTCGCTTTCTTGTTCCCACGGGAAAGAACAGAAAAAAAATCAATAATATCTCGTGGCCGCGATATAGGAAAAGAAAGAAATATCGGAATGTCACCTCTGTGCTTCCGTTATAAACAGACATTCACTCAAAAAGTCAAATTAATGCTAATGGCATTTAAATATTTAGCAATACTTTACTTGTTTATTCAACCTGTATATTTGCGTTGAACTTATTGATCTAGACTAAGATAAAAGATAAATATAATCATGAAGTTTCATTTAATTACTAAATTCCAAAGTTTATTAACCTTCTTATAATTATACAAAACAAAAAGAGTGTAAATAAAAGCTCACAATCAGATTTATCGTAAACATGAGGTTTTTATTATCTTTATATTTTTTTTTCAAATATCTCTATATATTTATCAAATATTCATAAATATCAAACGTGTGGAATGCTAAAATACATCAACCTTTTTCCAATATCTATAAAAACTATTTTATTTTGGCTTGCTAAAATGACATATGAAATATGAAAAAACATTTGATTCCGAGTGACCTGATGAAAATTAGTTTCTATCCGTCATTTTTTACATAAAATAAGCGTACACAGCAGCTATGCATTTACGAATGAAATCATGTGAGCAATAGCCGTTGATGTACTTTTTTATTATTCATGAGTCGGGGTATGTGAACAAAATGTGTTTTTTTTAAATAAATGTAACTGCAAAAACGATCATGTTAGTTTTATTTTACAAACTGTCAAAAGAAATTGCCCTAGAACGTTGAAAGCATGAGAAAGTAGTTTCCGTATTGGAAAAGCAGAATATGAAACGCAGAATTATCGAATTAGACGTATACTGTCGTTAGGACCGGGAATCAAAACTGCCTTATATCCTACAATTTGTAAACAAATGCCGACATATCCGAATGAATATTTTGAATTTTTGTTTATTTCTAGATTTGTTGTAAATGACTGAAACTAGATATATATGTATGTATTTACACGCTCCTCAACTTTCCGCTACATTTGGTATATTTTGCAAGCAGTTCTATTTGGTAAAATAAAAATTATAGCGAACTTGCAACTCGAAGCAGGCCAGAATTTTTCTGAAGTTTTGTGGATAAGTCGCTGTTCAAATTGCATTATCCATCGTTGTTTTCCGTCAAATTAAATAATATACTCAAAACTTCAAAATATAAGATTTTATCATTGACTTAAATATCATTTAAAACTGATGTTTATATGCAAAGAAAATAATGATTTGTACAAAATGAAATGACGCAGTTGAAAGAAAATATTATAGGACGCAGTTGTATATTCTTAGTATAGCCTGCATACTTATTCGGCTATTAATTTAGGTATACCAGTTATGTCCAACAACATTCATAAAGCAAAATGAACGGCGTCGTATTCACAATACTTCATAAATAGTCTTACCTGATACAAGTTGCAAGTTCGCTATAACTTTCGTTTTACCAAATAGTTCTGCTAATAACATATACCAAATGAAGCGGTAAGTTATGGAGCTTTTCAATACATATATCTGGTTTTCAAATATTTCAAACAAAAAGAGTAAGAAACAAAAGTATAGATTTTTTATTCAAGGATAGCGGCGTTTGTCTAAAAATTATAGGATACGACGCAACTTTGAATGCCAGCCCTGTTCATGTAAGAATAGAGTTAAAACACCTTTTTGTCGTGCATAAACATGTGCAGAAGCCCTAGGACTAATTTAGTCACTTACCCTAAGATCTCGGGCTTTAAATGTGTGCTCGTGCTTCTGCAGAAAAAGATGCACCCTCTATATAATTTGCGCGAGCAGGTTTATATTAACGGAGTAAAAAACATGCATTTACGGAAAGATTCCCGCGACCACGCGCATCTTTTTCACGTTTTTATTATGCATGACTCTGGATACAATGCTTAAACAGCGAAAAAAGGAAAGGGTGGTCCCAATAAATGCGTATTTCTATAATTAATATTAAAATGTCATGAAATATTTACCTAATACATAGCCAATATACTCATCTTCCGTCACCATATTTTCCTTTGATGACGTATTACATCCAACACACTTCTTTTTCGACGGTTTGTAGAATGCAACAACGCACGTGCCATAGCGCGAACACTGAAATGAGCAATGAATATTGCTCATTATACTAAGTAAACTGAAAACAGTGGCATCCTCAGGGCACGTTAACCCGTCCAATGTTTCAACTTTTCTAAAACTGATGAATTCAGCAGAGTAAAGTAGGCAAACCGAAATGCCCAGAGCAAATACGAAAAGAATATTAGCTGAAGCCCTGTTTCCCATATTTCGAAATCTACAAACGTACAGAAGTCCGCGTCTGTTATATCAGGAAAGGTTTTTCGTTATATATTGTCACTGCGCATGCGCAGGCTCAGTTTGCGGCGGTTCATCTCTCACTCGGGCATTTGTTGCGGCTCCTTCTAATATTTGTTCTACTGCGCATGATAACTTTGTCAATTATGTTTAATTAAGGCATCAATAATTCAAGAATGTACTTTTTGTGTGTCCTTTTAATTGCAGTTATTTCATCATATATTTTAGTTAATTAATTGTTTGTTAATTCATAACTAAGGTTTTAATTTGTTTGAAACACCTGCCTGACAGAATATCTCCAGTTGTCTCAGACGGGATATATATTCAAATCAAAATCCGCCCGTGTAGACATAAGATAACATAACTTTAAGACAACCAGCTTGACTTTGCTAATATTGATATTAAAGTAATCAAGACTTATAATAGTAAATTGCGGCTTTAATATAATATAAATTGATTGAATGTTCTTTTCAAATAAATTTGCCATACTGATTGTAATTAAATAACACTTGTTATGTATAAAAATTAGTTTTGAACAGGATGAAAAAAAAAAAAAAAACAGCAACAACAACAACATCTTATCCGGTGAAAATTTCATGCTAATTATCGAAAAGGCTCAAAAATTAATATTGTATAAACCAAACGCGTCAAAAATTTACAAAATAATGAAAAAAATAAATTCAAAAGTTAAAAGAAAAACCCATAAAATATCAAAATACTAATTCAAATGATTGCGGTGGCAGAGATAAGGATACTGATAAGGGGAGATCACAGGAGGTTGGACTTTTTTTTCGAAACAGTTGGGCTAAAAATAAAGTGCCGTTTAATAATCGTATTTCAGATATTAGTTTAATGGTTAAAGTTTTATTATATCGATCTCATAATACAGATTACGTCTGTAAGTTTACGCCTAAAAATGAGCTGATAAATCAGTTTAACTTGGGGTTCAAAATGGGTATTTGGACTATTCACTATATGTTTGTTTTGGACGTTTTAATTGAACTGTTTATCGAAAAGAAGAAACATTATTTTGAGCTTTTCTAAATTTAAAAGGTGTTTTTGACAGCGTTTAGCTGAAGAGACCATGCTCGCAATAAAATTGAAATTTTTAGATGTTAAAATGATCATTTACAATAAAACCAAATTGAATTTTTGTAAACAACAACAACAACAACAACAACAACAATTTATTTCAGCATTAAGTAATATACATTTACTTCTAGCCTACAATAATATAATAATGTGTAGTGATAGGTCATATAAAGATTACATAAGTGTTATTATTTAAACAAAGGAGCTTTTGGTTAGTTAGAAACAATCAGTAGACATTATTGAGCAATTAGAAATACGAATTAGCAACACATTTGTATCCATTACCGGCTCCTTATGACATGCTGTTTATATCTAGACTCTTGAATAATAAATACACGGACGCTTTCTATCACTTTTCTGATTAATTTTATTTTATAGGCTATCAAACACCAATTAAAATTATGAGAGTTCAAACGTTTTAAGCAGTTTTAATTGTATATTAATTATATTTAGAAAACGGCAACATTTAAAAGGCACGTAAGCAATTAACCAAATGAAAAATTGAATAATCAATGTATAATTGGCGTCCGCGCCGAAGCGCAGCGCCCTTATGGAATGAAATCAGATTTTGTGAATGGGCGACAGCAACTTCTCGAGCCTTTTAGTCGGTCATAATAAAAGCCGATCATTCCGATCGGTATGAGGGTGCTTGATTAAAAAAAATGTCTCGATATATACAATGAATAGCGAAGTGGAGAATTTCGCATTGCATGAAATAACCTTTTCCGTTTCTTCGTTTTTATGCTCCCCGAAAAATTTCGGGGGAGCATATAGTCGTCGGGTTGTCCGTCCGTCAGTCCGTCCGTACGTCCCGAATTCGTGTCCGGCCCATAACTTTGTTATTTGAAATTTAAAATTATTTAACAGAAATGATCACCATATTAAGACGACGTGTCGCGCGCAACATTTGGGTCGCTACCTTGAAGGTCAAGGTCACAGCATGACCTTGCAGCAAAATCGTGTCCGGTCCATAACTTCATTATTTGAAGTCGGATTTTAAAAATATTTTACAGAAATGATCACCATATTGAGACGACGTGTCGCGCGCAACATTTGGGTCGCTACCTTGAAGGTCAAGGTCACGGCATGACCTTGCAGCAAAATCGTGTCCGGTCCATAACTTTGTTTTTTGAAGTTGGATTTTAAAAATATTTTACAGAAATGATCACCATATTGAGACGACGTGTCGCGCGTAACATTTGGGTCGCTACCTTGAAGGTCAAGGTCACAGCATGACCTTGAAGCAAAATCGTGTCCGGTCCATAACTTTGTTATTTGAAGTTGGATTTTAAAAATATTTTACAGAAATGATCACCATATTGAGACGACGTGTCGCGCGCAAATTTGGGTCGCTACCTTGAAGGTCAAGGTCACAGCATGACCTTGCAGCAAAATCGTGTCCGGTCCATAACTTTGTTATCTGAAGTTGGATTATAAAAATATTTCACAGAAATGATCACTATATTGAGACGACGTGTCGCGCGCAACATTTGGGTCGCTACCTTGAAGGTCAAGGTCACAGCATGACCTTGCAGCAAAATCCCATAACTTCGCTATTTGAAGTTAGATTTAAAAAGTATTTCACAGAAATGATCATCATATTAAGATGACGTGTCATGCACAACATTTAAGTCGCTACCTTGAAGGTCAAGTTCACAGCATGACCTTCAGCAAAATCGTGTCCGGCCCATAACTTCCTTATTTGAAGTCAGATTTTTAAACTATTTCACAGAAATGATCACCATATTAAAATGGCGTGTCATGCGCAACATTTGGCTCGCTACACTGAAGGTCAAGGTCACAGCATGACCTTGAAGCAAAATTGTGTCCGGCACATAATTTCATTATTTGAAGTCGGATTTTACAACTATTTCACAGAAATGATCACCACAATGAGACATTGTGTCGCGCGCAACATTTGGGTCGCTACCTTGAAGGTCAAGGTCACATTATGACCTTGCAGCAAAACCTTGTGTGGCCCATAACTTTGTTACTGGAAGTCGGATTTAACAACTATTTCACAGAGATGATCACCATTTTGAATCGACGTGTTGCATGCAACATTTGGGTCACTACCTTGAAGGTCAAGGTCACAGCATGACCTTGCAGCAAAATAATGTCAGGCGCATAACTTTGTTATTTGAAATCGGATTTTACAACTATTTCACAAAAATGATCACCATATTGAGACAATGTGTCGTGCACAATATTTGGGTTGTTTTTACACTTTGAACTTTGTCTGTGACATAACTCTGACACAACAAGAGGTATACCTTCCTGTGTCCAAAACCTATTCGGGGAGCATCACCCGGTTCAACCGGCTCTTGTTTTTATTTATTTATCATTTTGTAGTACACAGTGGGTTATTATGGTATGTTAAAATAGAATGATGAGTTGATGACCTAAACATTCCGAAAATCTATTTATAGAGGGATGTACTGCTATCGGTAATTCCCCGTCTCTCGATCCCGGTCTATTTTTTGACCGGGATTTACTAGTGACCGGCGAATAGTATCACACGTTTATTGTCCGGTCTCTCCCGGTTTTGGAGTAGATGTTTGATATCGTTACAGAACAGAACAAATATTTTACAGATAAATAAGCTTTTTTCCAAAATGAATGTTTGTCATTTAGTTTGGCTACAATAAATAATAAATACAGATCAACTCTAAGATGTATTGATTATTATTATACATGAACATACAATTCGAAAAAAAAACCAACAACAACAGCAATAGCATGTATCATTTTATCTATATGAGATAAAAACAATAAATATGTGCAATAATTGAGAAAAAGGTACATTTTATTGTATCAATATGACCCTATCAACTTTAAAACCTTTTATTTATTATAATAATTTGTTATTCGTGTTTAGTAAAGATGCCTAGGAATTATTCATTCGTGTTTAGTAAAGATGCCGAGGAATTATTCAAAGTTACAAATTAGATTTTATGAATTATTCAATTGATTGATAATTTAAAAAATGATAAAGAAAAATACAAATGTACATATACATTGTTTAAGAATAAACAATATTATATATTGAAAGATTAAGCATAATTTACTGACTTTTTCCAGTTAAGTTTTGACTTATAATCGTCGGTCAATATGACAATTGAATTCTTAAAATTTATTTTACAATTTTGATAAAAAAGGAGCAGTAAACGTAAAAACTCAGTATTAAAATAGCACGTAAAACACAAAAAAAAATAGAAAACAATATTCATAAAATCTGTATTTTTATATTAAAATAGATATTACAATTGTTGTATAATAAACAATTATGCTCAACATGATCAACATGGTAATATAACCAGTGTCATATTTTTACTAAGTGTGAACAGATACCTTAAGAGGGGGTCTTCGCTAATAGCGATAACATAATAAAAGACAATTCCACAAGTGTGGTGTTGATCATGCGTTACACATATGGATTATAAATGATGGTATACATGTATATCCGTTGCTATTAATAATCACGATCATAAAGAAATAACAAGTAATATTTTAATCTCTAGCATGCCAATCAAAGTTCATAATGAACAATGTCTTTCGTCCGTTCATTCTGGTAAAAACAAATTAATCATTGAAAAAGTTTATAAGACATCATATGTCTACTAGTTCATCTTCACTTTCTGCATTTCTTGCTTGGACGCCCTTTGATGCTTTGCATCAATGCTTTTCTTGTAGTCTATGTGTTACAAATGTGACAGTGCTTTAGGAATTGAGCGATAACGGTTCTCGACCGCAAATGCAATCATCTGTACAAAATTGTTTTATAAATTCCATATACAGATTTGGAATAAAGATAACCAATTAATATGAATAGCGCTTATTTTTTTATCAGGTCGATTTGAATTCTATCAGGATCTAGGTGAGTGCCGAGTGTGACCCGTTCAGG